TTTTTTTTTTTAAATGAATTATATGATTCATCATGTGCTTTCATTGTATTGGCATGGTTATGCATTTTAATCTCAGATAAGACATCTAAGATAATTAAATTGGTGTAGGTTTTTTATTGCAGATAATGTTCTTGAAGAATTAATATTCGGGTGGCCAAGACAAAGAGTTGGCTTGCAATTGAGAGAACTTCTTACTTCAAGGCTCCATAAAGCAATGACATCGGTATCATTTTTAACGAAGATTAAAAGCTGTTCAACTGGAACAATCATTCATCCGCTTGACAATAAAGATTTCCATATTGTAGCATTTTTTTCATATAATAGTGGATCTGATCAATAGTTTTAAATGCATGGTAATTGTCAGGTTGGTCTAACTGGAATCTCTCTGGACAAAGATCCCCAGTCCCTTAGTGGCGGATACAAACGACGGCTTGCCTTAGCAATTCAGTTAGTAAGATTTTTCTCATTTCTATGGTACTTCAATACCTGCACACGTTATTAAAACTTTGTTTGCATGAGTCTCTCTGCATGACAAAGACTGGAAGTTGGAATTCGTATTGGGTAATCTGGGTCACAATAGAGTAGCCTATTGTTTTCTCAGGGCCTTCCTTGTAGTTTTATCTATTGACTAGGAAGATGCACGTGCTACGCACGTGATTTTTTTTTTCTTCAAATTACTTTAGTATTAGGTTTATCTTTAACAGTATAGTATAATTTTCTTTCAATTAGTTTAACAAAAAAAGGTGTATTTTATTGAATAATGAAATATAGTATTTAATACTATTAACTAAACTCTATGATAAATTAAATTATATAAAAAACATTGGATTGAAAACCCAAAATAAAATTAATATTTTTTTTAGTGAAAATGTAAATGCTAAAGAAAATTATATCGTCTTTGATACCTATCTATCTATACATCTTTTTCGACATAAATTATTGTTGCATCTCCTAACATTGTCATACATCCATTATCTTCATCCCCGGATTTTCAAGGCTATCCTAAATATGAAAACTTACTAATTCCAGTTTAAATGAATTATAAAATGATGATTCTTTCATATTTTATTTTTATCTTAACATTATTTTTATACCTTCGTCAACATTTTATATAGTTTATTTTCCCTACTTTTGCTTAAAATAATGATCTTAATATTTTCATCAAATATAGTTTTTTAATGCCATCCTTTTGCATCACACTCTTTGAAAAATAACTCGAATTTGTTATAACTATTATTCGTAATGATCCTTTTTTATTGTCGATTGGAAGCTAAAACATTATGTTTGAATAATTCATTCTCAATTATTTTGATTATAGTGGTTGCAAGTTTAGTTATATTAAGTATAATATTTCATAAGAGACACATAAATATTTGAAAACATCCTTAAAGTCGTAATTATTTCAAAAAACAAAAAATACATGAAAAAGCTTAGGAATAATAACATCTTTATTGATTTAAAGACCCATTTATCTATATATCTTGTCCAACATAAATTATTGTCACATCTCCTGAAATTGTCATACATGCATTATCTTCGTTTACGGATTCTCAAGTCTATCATAAATGTGAAAATTTAATAAGTCTAGTTTTAATGAATTATAAAATGATGATTCTTTCATATTTTTACTCTTAACATTATTTTTATATCTTCGTCATTACTTTATATAGTTTATTTTCCCTACTTTTGAGAAGTGATTTGAAACATTTAATTTATGAATGATACTTTTGAGAAGTGATTTGAAACATTTAATTTATGAATGATTTTATAAATAAGGTATGCTAAAGACAACAAATTTAAAGTAAATTTAATGTTTATTTTTATTTAATTAATTTTAATTGTAATTATTTTCTAATAAGTACATGCATTGTGAAATTTAAGATTTAAAATAGAATTTTAGTTATTTTATTTATGTAAATAATATATTTTTGTTTATATTACAATTCAGTGAATGCTATTTTAATTTATGTAACACATTATTACATAAGAGCATTTATACTACACATATTATTAACAGGTAAACTTAAATCATATTATGCATTTTGTGTTAGTGAATAATTTAAACTTTTGTTAAGATCATATCTTTTTTACTTAACAAATAACTTTTTTCCATAGAAAGTTGACATTTTGTATGTTGAATGATTATTCAATCATTCTTATACATGTGTGTGTTCACTAAATGTTCCTCTTTAATTTTTTTACTACTGTAACCAAAAATTTGTATGGTAAACAATATGATATTTGGAAATTAAAGATGATACTTTTAGTGGTGCATTAATATTTTACACTTATGAAATATCATATATTTTATATTTAAAATATCTTAAAATAATTTTTTCTCTTTCATTTTAAAACTACCTTTAAAATAACCAAATCGAAACCTAACGTTATATGTACATTAATTCAGAATAATATAATTAGGAATAAATTATTATTTAAAATATATGGATTTGCGTAGGTAATGTTTTGTATGTGTAAGAACTTAAAGATATAATTAAGCATAAAAAAATAAAAGATAATAAATAGAAGTTGTAACTTCCTAACATTAATAAGAAAATTACATTAATAACCTTAAAAACTTATCTTTTTATGAGGGTATTCTTGGCAATTTAAAAGTTTCAAGAAACAACTCTTCCTTTTAAGAGAGTTATAGATTATAGATGGTAATTAATTTATGGCCGCAATGATTACCTTAAAGATTCTTTCTCTTTCTTAGGTGCAAACTCCAGATCTGTTGATATTAGACGAGCCTCTTGCTGGTCTTGGTATGGCAATCTTGCAGTGTTCTTTAATCTTCTCCTCACTTTATCTTGAATGCCTTGGGGTGATTGGATATATGTATATATATATTTTTTTTGGTTTTGATTGATTTGATTGGATAAAGTGAGTTAATTTTGAACAAAGTTGATTGAGTGGTGATTTGTGTTGGATTTTGAGTTCGTATTTAAATAGTATTCAAAATGAAATGCTTAAAGTTGATGTGATATAAAGTAGGAGAGAGGTTATTGGAAATGATAGGTAGTTACAAACAAGTGAGTAGATGTGATGTGCGATAATGATTGATTAATACTATTTAATTATATCGATATATTGAGGAGAGTTCAAAACGTTCTTTTTTTTTTCCAATTAGAATAAAGCCATCTTTTACCTCACGGTGCTAAATGAGTAAAATATGATCGTTAAAGCATATGCATGAGGTGATAGGTTAAAGATCATATTTCCTCTGCCCCAGTATTGTCCTTGAAAGTAGTTAGAGGTGTTCCGTCACTATATAACTTTTGATGCATACTACCAGATTTAAACTTCTACGTAAGAAGGTGCCTCATATTTGGATAGGATCAGTGGCTCTGTTGCTGGCCTGCCCAATAGCATAACATGTGGGTATTTATTTCCGAATTTTGAAAATCTCATCCAGATAATAAATTTCCCGTAGTGAATGTTTATCTTAACTATGAGTCTAGAATGATGGTGTTAGGAGTAAAGAATCATGAAAGAGAAAACATAATTTTATTGTCCAATAGCCCGTGCTATTACAAAATAATCTCTCGCGCCCTCTACAAAAGACTAAGGACTTAACTAGAAGACTAGCCTAGCAAAGTAACCCTAATGGGAACCTTAAAACCTACGGGCCTGGAGCCTTCTAATTAATGCAGATAATATGGCAACAGATGATATGAATGGTGGGTTGCAGATAGGACCAACTTATATAATATCATCAGAATCTACACTGGTTATGGTGTGATATATTGGCTTGTTTACTAACTAATTTTATATGTTTTGGATGGCTTCTTTGACATTTTGTTTGATTACAAATATTTTTGCTGGCTGAATTTCTTGAGCTCTTCTATATACTGTTTTGACCTTGTTGGCTGTTTTTCACTAATTTGGATATTTGAATCTGTTAAAGGTAGTAGAGGAAACCCTGTAGTTTGACCTTTGTTAGCAGATTGGCATAGAATCTAGGAATTACACATATATTTGTTCTTTTGGATTTACATTTTCAATGTACTGGAAACTTGTCTCTGTTAGACTGGAAAGCCCGTGCGGATGTTGTTAAGTTGTTGAAAGACTTGAAGAAAGAGCTTACATTGCTTGTTGTCAGCCATGACCTTAAGTAAGCTTACAACTGCATGTTTTAATGTTTCTCACTTCGATTTAGATTCTTTTGCAGTGGTGTTTTTTTTATTTGATTAGATCCCCTTTATATACAAGTTATCCTTTATGAACATCTGAATGTAGATATTGTTCATCGATACCAATATTGGAATGAACTGATCTTTCTGAATGATTTATTGTGGATGAACTACACATTTGATAGTGGTTGATGCTGTGCCATGTCAGAAAAGATGAGTAGACATATTATATGGGATAAACCAAGATAGCATTATTACTATTTTTGGGTGTACCCTAATACTATGGTATCCAGTAGGTAAAGGAATTGGCACAGAATTCAATGCTTGCTTCTTATATATAGTTTTTGATAAATGGATATCCAAAAACTAGCTCATAAGGAGAGGGTGCCCAACCCACACATACTCGTTATAACCCAGTAATTAATAGATGTGGGACAAACATAACTTCTAACACCTGTCTTCACGTGCAGTGTGCCCAACCATGATAAATGGGTCTTGGTAGATCTCTTCCAAAAAGTTAGCTTAAAAGGGTGAGGGTGCCCAACCCACACTTATACACAATAACAGCCCATTAACTAATCGATGCTAGACAAACATAACTTCTAACAGTTCTGTTTATGAATTGTTTTTTAGATCCATTTATGAAACACTATCTATTTGTGTATCTTCAGAGAGCTGTCATCACTCGTAGACCAGTCTTGGAGGATGGACATGGGTGGAGTATTGAAGAGGGAATGCTTGCCTTTCTGATTACATATTTCTGCTACCTGGTCAACTGATGAATGCTGCAATTTGGGTATGTTTGTCTAGATTCTAATTTTTTAATGCATGTTTCCTAGAGTTTAGATGTGGGTAAGCATGCAATTTCCTAGAAAAGTTGCTGATATTAATTTATCTGGATGAGTGTATGCTATATTAAAGAATATTTCTGCTCAGTTACATGCGAGATGCTAAATTCAAACAGGCACTTGATACATGCAACAGAACAAGTTTTAGTACTTGACATCACATTTGACCTTCCCAACCACTGAAGTTCACTGATGAAGCAGAACCACATAAAAATCTAATAAACGCATAGTCATCCACCACTACAGATATTAAGAAAGCACACAGATAGGAGAATCTCCTTATTTGCATCTGACCTTAACCAAATTACAGTTCATTTCATCAATAAAATCATGATCACACGCTTGAGCAAACTTCATCTTAAAAGGGGAACATGGATAGGCTCCTTGCCTTTGCTTTTATATCTTCCCTTAGAGCTCCAAGACCAAGTCTTTCATGTAGATGACCGACAAACAAATATGGAAAAAAAAAGAAGTTAGAGAATCCTACTTAATTTGTTAATCTTCCACTGATGCATTTAACTTACAATCAGAGTCTGTCTTGATCCAGTGCCCTCTATTGATAGTTGAAGCACCCGGGTGGGTCCCATTTGAAGATAGTTTCCCGATGCCCTTGTCACTCCATTTGCTCCCGCCTTGACCAACCATCTTATTTCCATCCTCATGGGAAATGCTTTTCCTCCGTTGCTTTTGGTGCTTACCAAACTGTTTGTCTGTCATCTCTTTAGCGCGAACCTTCGTGTCAAATATCTTTATAGCCTGCAACCTCGCCACATCAGATCGTGCAAATATTTTCCAATTTGCTTAAGTTATATATGCTATGCAGTTTCATTCATTTTAATTCTATTGATGCACTTTTCTCAAACCTTAAGCTAGAATGCGGAACAAAATCTGCTGTATATTTGTGTCACATGAGCAGGTATTGGGACAAATTGTAAATACGAATAGTGACAAGAACAGTCCCCATCAAACAGACCATTGGGCCAAATGTCCGAATCAACTGCTGGACCAACGGGTCAACTTTTTAGTGGAACAAATTGATTTAAAGGGAAAAAATATGAATATAGGAATATACAATAATTTCTTTTAAACTGAACTAGTAAATTAGATAATTTAGATGGATATATATTTCTCAAGGTATAAAATATAATATTCCATAAGATAAACATGATATATATAATTAAAATACCATTTCGGTGTCTATGTCCCATGTTGGAAAAATAAAATTTAGGATATCTGAATTTTTATTTCAATTGGAAATAGCACATTGATGTTCAAGAATACATTGTGTGGCCAAAACTCAGGATACTATTGGACCACCACCAACATTTCATGATCCTTGTATATATATACATATATATATATATTGATATTGTACGTATAAGGGTGTCTACACAATCAAACAAAGTTAATATTATGATTAAGCTTGATTTGCTTCTCCTGCATAGGTTAAAACATGTTAATTGGGAAAGTGTATTCATTAAATTTAAAGGGACGATTATGATTATTTCAAGCATGAAACACATTACTGAAAAAAAGGAAGCACGAGGTTCATGTCATCGACTCTTGTACATGCAATAGAATTAAGTTGTCTCAATATAACACGTTGCTTTGTACAATTGATGGGTGAGTACTAGTTAATAAATATGTAGTCAGTGATACCAACAGAAAATGGGAAGTCAAGTAAGAGCATTCTTGGTTAAGCTTATCTAAAAAAATCTTAAAAGCTTTGATATGTTTTAAGATGGTTTACAGCTGATGAGTGATGACAAAATAATGTTTGAACTTGTAGATATCTTAAATCATAACACTAAAGAAACTACTAAGATGCTAAAAGAAAAGTTCAGGGGGAGGTGCTTTTTTTTTGGAAGCTAATAAGCTTTTCAAGAGCTTATTTTTGCATCTGATCAGCTCTTTAGAAAAATCAACGAAGAATCTTTATGAGCTAATAAGCATTTAAAAATCTAAAAAAAATGATTTGAAGTGCTCATAAGCTTTTAAGCATCTGATTTGAACACGTATTACGATGTTTTAGAGAGCTTATAAGCTTTTAAACATAATATAAGATGTTTAAAAGCTTATAAGTTCTTCCAAACTCATCAAACCATAACTAATGTTGTAGGACTAAACTGACCTTTGAGAGTCTTTTCTTAAATGAGATGGATAGAGCCGCATCATCTTTAGATGAAACCTTTAAGCATCTTGATGTTGGATTTAACTTCTTCACCATCTTTTTCATGAAATGAGATACATTTCTTTTCCTTGATTTTTGTTCTGATTCTTCGCGTATCTTCATATGCTTGTTATGAGCCATGTTGTTTTCCCTAAAATGCCCTGTAAGTGCTGTCTTTTCTTTCTGTAATTCTTCATCCTTCCCTGTCTGATCAGTCAACGTGGCAAAGAGATAATTCTGGAGAGGACAAGCCATGGTATACATTTGGTTTTCAGAATCTAGTCCTTCAGTTGTTGCATGGCTGAGGGTTATTATACTTGCCTGACTGCTCCTTGCTGATGCGTCGTAGGCTATTTTTTTCTCCTCAGCTTCTACAAATTTCTCGAGCTCGTAGTTTATGAGTTTGAGATCATTTTCTGTTATCTTTGTTTGTGGATTAGTCCAATTTTCGTGGGGTGTCGCGAGCTTTGGTGTTGGGGTGTCTGAGGGGAGTAGTTCCATACCAAATGTACCAATCGCGAGAAAGTCAAAAGACTCGAATGATTCTTCTTGGAAAATCATTTCCCCCTTGTTGGATTCAAATCTGTCTGAAGATCTTTTACACCTGATATCCGGGTATGTCATGGTCTTGGTGGGCTCGTTGTAGCCTTTTTGCTCATCAAACAATGCATGCACTGAATAACAAGGGAAATATTTCCTGAAATTGAAGAACTTACCTAGCATGGAGTTTTTGTTTGGTTGCTATAGTTAAGTTACTATGTGCATTCTCTTGCATGGGTGTCATATTCTTTTGCATGAGCAGTTTTTTGCACGTTAAATTGTGAAATAAATAAGCTGCCTTATATATATTTATGGCCAATATTCTCAATTCTGCTATGTTTGGAGTAGGCTTTTGTCCAAGATATTTTCAGGGTAGGAAAATTTGATGATCAGTGTCATGATTTTGTATATTTGATGAAAGATAGACATGTGATATTCTTTGAAGAACTTACCTAGCATGGAGTTCTTGTTTGGTTCTGTTCCACTGTGCATCAGCTTACGGTGCATCCAACCTAGGAACTGCAACATAAGATAAATTAGAAATGTTATGATGTAGAGGTTCATAGTCATTATTACAAGAATTTGGACTGACCTTCATCTTGAGTTTTCTACGGAAAATGTATCAGAGATGATTGTCTTAAAAATGTTATTTCAATAATGAGAGGATTGAAGAATCGGACTTTAAAAGGGGAACCTTAATAGAGTTATGGATTGGTTGAATCACCTTTTCATCATGTTGTTGACAAATGGTTTCTGAAAAGCCTACGCTTCCTAGTAGGGTCTAATGATGGTTTTAGCAGATTAGAACATTAAGCTAGTTACAAGGCTATAGTTGGACAAAGTCCTGTCAGCATCAGCTGAGTGAGATTTGAGACCCACGTGGGTAATATTATACTTTCCGTGAACATTTGTAAATTCTTAGAGGTGGTCACACTGTGGCTAAATTTTATTTGTTCTTTTTTTGTCTTCGGTGAAAGGTGGTTGCACAGTGACTATTGATTTAAACTTAAACAGTGTGTCGACTGTCGATCTTGCGATTGGTGATTTGATTTCAATAATATGCGTATGCAATGCAACTCCTAGTATATACCATGACATGTGAGATGGTTATGTGGTCCATTTATGATAAAAACCTGTCTATGGCCATTGCTTGTTGAAGGAAACCTTTCCAATACAAGCTAAAAAGATACATAGTATACGGTAGGGCAGCATAGAGGGCTCATACTCAGATTCTCAAATTGCCATCCATGTCTTGTATCTTAATTAAGCACTTGTTCTAGCCTTTAAAACTAGTCTTCACTCAATTTATGATCTAACAGGCGCAGCATACTGGTTTTTTTCTTTTTTGCTCTTTTCCAATTTTATGAGCTACTTCTCTCTTGTATGTTTGAGCACTTTAAAACATTAAGATAATCTGGGGTGTCTCTGAAGTCTGTGATCCTCCTACTGCTTACTTGCCTACCTGATACTATTATGTCTTAGAAGTCAAATTGTCAATATGTAATGTATGTTTAGGGGAAAATTTCCGTGCTGTAATTTTGATGCATGTATTACCAAATTTGATTTCTGTTTCATATTTACGAGAATTAGGAAAGTCCCACTTAAAAAAGGCGGCATCTGCAAGAAATCTGTCACCACCTTTGCATAAAAATTATATAATAGAGTGCCTTCTAATGGTGGTATTAGGAACTAAGAACTTACATGTGGGGACAAACTGAACATACATCAGAAACTCTCGTGCACGTGTACTGCTGGAAAATTTCATTGAATTCACTAGCCAAGTTGGCAAATTATGCTTCTGAATATCTGTTAGGAGTTTGTTTATGCTGTAAAGATGTGTGAACGCATAGGACTAAAGTTGCGTATACTAATGACTATTTTTCAGCTAGTAGAATGTGGAGGGGTGGTGCCCATGCTTCCATCTATAATGTTGCATATAGTAATTAGTTGGCCATGGTTTGTCATTGGTTCCCTGTATAATATTTTATTTGGTTTCCTTGTTTTAGCACTCTTAATCAAGAATCCTCGTGAATAGAGTGGGAACAACTCGGCTTTTTTTTCCTGCTCGTGTAATATTCGGTCAATCTGCTATCCAGTGCTTAGAGTAGATGATTTCATCTACTTGAACTGAATGTGTTAACTAATCATTTTTTATATTATGTTTAACTCATTTATCAAAGTATTGATGTTGGCATATAGTTTGGCCAGCTCAATGATGTGGTTTTGAAGTTGTGTGCATGGTTTGATGTGTAACCACTGAAGATGGTGAGTGCAATGTCTGTTGATTCTAATTCTCATTAAAATGTGGAAAATAATTTTTATTTTTATTCTTGGCCATAATAGAGCTCTTTTTTAGTTTTGCAGCACTCAATGTAGCATGCTCTAAAACAACGGATTTCGAACTGTCTTAAAAGTTGCTCGCCATTTACATACTTCATAGTTTGTACTGAATGGGGACGTTCTATACATAGACCATCACTGTTCAAAACTCTGTGCTATGTGCGCTAATATCCTACTCTATTTTGGAGATGCTCTCAGGTCACTAGCTTACAAATGTGTAGAAACTAGCTGGGAGTTGTTTAGTCATATCTTGTTGACATTATAGATGTAAGGAGGAAGTTGTGTGGTTGTATTGCAATTTAAACTTCTATTTTATATTCAACAATTACGTGTATTGATGCAGGTTTGTTCTGGCATCTTGTCTTCCGACCAAATCACCTTTTCATTTAAGCTATTTTTGCAAACCTTCTTGGCAGCTAGCGATACTTGGAGGTACAATTTTTAGCTAAAATATTTTTTCGTTATTCTCATTATGTGAATGCCATTTATGTCTATTATGGAAATAGGGAGACATGGGCCCGGAAGAGCTGTTTGAAGCCACATTTTTTGCTATGCTACAAAATGCTATCAAACAAGTCAGGTTTTCTTTTTTTTTTTGGTGGACAAAAATGAGTGAGTGGACAGTTATGGTGTGAGCAGCAAGTCCATACAAACACAAGTATCCACAAGCTGATTAAATAGTCACAGATTATGGAGTCATTTACAAATCCTCACCTAATGGATAATAACTCGTGTGTGAACCACATGTTTTGCTAATCGTGGAATTTCGGTTGAATTGTTGCCTGCCACCATCTTTTTTCCATGTTTGAATTAGATTTAAGTAGATTGATCATATCATTACACATTATTATCATAGTTTTGAACTATCACACTTGATCTTAGCTTATGTAATTTACGAACTCATTTGTACTTAAGACTTTACGACTGTAAACGTTAATTAGCACAAACGGTGGGAAGTTGATTGACTTTTCTGGACATCTTTGGTTGTTCCAGCTAAAGTTATGGGCTCATTGTGTTGTTCGATTTTCGGGTATAATGGGCAAGGAATATGTAAAAGGCCTAACTGATGAGCGGGTTACTAATTCAATTGAATAGGGCCAGGTTTTAGTATTAGGCTGGATTGGGCCATCTGATTGAGTGGAGGAAGAAACAAGTGATAGCCCAGTGGGTGTATCAATATATAGCAAAATAGATAAGCTGTGAACAAAGGCCACGGGCCTTTGGTTAGCATGACCACTGGACTACTATATACTATGGAAGTATAGATATTGAGAAGAGAAGGTTGTGACTTGTGACTGAGATATCTGATTTCTGATTTAGAAGGTTGAAACGGTTTATGTTCTTATGTGGTACTTAGCAAATGGCATATATAGTTGGTTGATTATGCGACGTGTGGTAAATAATTAATTATTTGATATGTGAAAGTATATAAAATGCACTATATTCACAGCTCGTATAAAAAAAATAAAATAAAATAAAAAAAAAAAAAAAGTGTTGGATTAAAAGCCATTTCAAATGGCTACTTACCAATCAATAAAATTAGTGGTTTCTATCATGTCAAACTTCTAATCTATCCTCGAATTCATGATTTGGAATGCATGTCTATATTTAGTCATTTCTTGATACGACTTCTTATAAGTTGCATTAAATATTTTATAAACATTAGGAAGCTACATTCACTTATTTAATTGGGATTTCAAGTGATATTTTTTTTTTAAGACTTAGACTTTTCAAGATTTTCAGATATTGGAGAAATTCGGTGAAATCTTAAGTCTAGGGTGGGATTTAAAATGAGATTTCGTATAAGGTTTTTTCTATTGAAATCTCACCAGATTTTAAAAAAATTTAAAAATCATAGTCTCACATAAGTTAAATACCTCAAAATTTTGTAACATTTTTTAAAATCTTCATTCTCAATTGAATACTCCAAGACTCTGAAAAGGTTTTAACAAATTTAAATGAATATACAGATATTTTAAAATTATTAAAAATATCAACTGAATACAACTCCTTAAGGGGTCGTTTGGTTGGAGGGAAATGGAGGGGACGGGGGGACGGGAGGGATTTTTTTAGTTTTCTTTTGTTTGGTTTATAAGTTAGGAGGAGAGGGGAGGGGAGGGGAGGGGAAATTTTAAGTAAGAATCCCTCCCCTCCACCAATTTTGCTTCCCTCCAAAAGTGGGGGATTTGGATGGGAGGGAAAATATTAACACATAAAATTACTATATTATCCTTATTATGTTAAATATTTTATTATTTTGTTTCTTACATCATTAAGGATATAATTGTCATTTTCACAATATTTTCTTCCGACAAAGTTGACCTCGACCAAAGGGTAGCTCGAGCGATACAAGACTAATCCTCTTTCATTTTCGGAATGGAACTACACTTTCTTCTAAATGGTTCGAAAGAGTACTGGTTCGTGTGAGTGGTGTGTTCGAGACTTTGTTCAACTCCATTATTCTAACCAAACAAGGTTTGTCATTTTCCCTCCACTTCCCTCCTACAAATCCTCCAAGCAAGGTAAAATTATTTTACATTCCCTCCCCTTCCCTCCCCTTCCTTCCATTAAAATCTCTCTCCTCCTTTCCCCTCGGTTGAACCAAACATATCCTAAAGTTACTTTGACAGATTTATGGATTAGATCTTATAAACGTGATAACTTGCATTTGTGAAATGTTATATTTATGACAAGAAAGTATAATACAAGGACATCATGTGCAAACTAACTCTGCTATAAAATGATAGTATCTCCCTCCCTATGCAAAGGAAAAATAATAATAAATGAGTATGCCTATAATTTTGTTAATAAAGTTGTGGGATGACCTAGTGAGCCCATTTTTG